TAGACGACGATGAAGCAACTCTGATGATGGCTGGCTGGGACGGGTGGCGTGATGGTCACGTGATCTGGCGTACCACGCTCGAACCCCACACCCACTAAAATATTGTTTAGTTTGGGGAGGTAGCTTAGCCAGCTATTATCGTTCAGGTGACGTTTTTAAGTACTGTACTGCACCATTTAAATTATAATAAAGTGTTATGTAATTCTGAATAGCAAACAATTTTCTGTGTAGATTGTTACTTTGTTTAAAGTGAGTGCAGATTATTTTTGGAATTGTGTGGACATTACATATACCATCAAGATTTAGAGACCGCTGCTGAATATCTCGTCAAATCCATTAGAGTAATTTGTCAATGCATCTTCGTGTTTTCAGCTGGAGAACACACACACACACACACACACACACACACACTTCCAAAAACAATATCTTTGCGAACACTAAACACACATCTCGGTGGAGTACATCACAACACCTGCACTGACTTCCTCAAGATGTGGGCACAGTAACCTGCAAATATTGTCCTCTCTCTTTTTGAAGGAAATTAATGCTTTGACTTGTTAGTATAATATATTGAGAATTTTTTTAATATACTGTATAGAGAAGATATCGTTCATTTCATAGTCAGCAAGCAAGCAAGCAAGCCGTGCATATCTCTGTCTGGTATCTTGTTAGTTCCTGCCGCATTCCACTCACCATTCTCCTCCCTATTATGCCCGTCTTCAAAGTCCCTATAGAACCCTTGAGTCACCACACACACACACACACACACGACCCCCTCCCCCCCAAAAGCATTGTCATCTCTTAACCTCTGACATTCCCTCATAACGCATGATCTAAATATAGGCGGTAATATTTCATCAATTATCACTTGGGTATTTCATAACTTGTCGTGAAGTAAAGGCTTCGTAGTGCTGGTGCTGATAGAGAACTGCGTAGGCTAGGTGTTGGGTGTCTTGCTTTGGGGTATTGTAAAGGATTTTTTTAACATCGATGTCGCTAGTTGAAGATAGGGAATACTGCAGTACCTGTACCCGTTTGTGTGTTTATATATATATATATATATATATATATATATATATATATATATATATATATATATATATATATATATATATTTATTTCATGGAGATCCACAAAGAAAACGTGGATAAGATAAATCTTGATAAAATCACACGGGAAAAGGGAAACAACGGAGCACCTTAGCTTTCGTCTTTATTCAAGTTGCCTCTGAAGATGTCTTGAATAAAGACGAAAGCTAAGGTGCTCCGTTGTTTCCCTTTTCCCGTGTGATTTTATCAGCATGTATGTATGTATATGTATATATATATATATATATATATATATATATATATATATATATATATATATATATACACATACATACATGCTGATAACCTAACCTAACCTCTGACCTGACTACCGACTGCTGCGGTGTTTTTTGAAGATTTGTAGGGTCACTACCTAGTGACCTGATCATTGTGGACTTGATCTCACCCTCCTCTCTGTATATATATGCCTTGTTATGTATTTCTCTTTAGTCTGTACTCACCCCTGAAGATGTGAATTACACGAAAGCATATACCTGATCACGCGCACCTACAGTGATTTACTTATATATATATATATATATATATATATATATATATATATATATATATATATATATATATCGTATTTATGTCTATGTGTGTACAGTATTGTATGTATATATGTGTGTTTTTTTCGGTTTCTGAATGTATATGTGTGTTTTTCGGCTTGTGTATGAACCTGTATCTATGTTCGTATGTGTGTGTGTCCTTCAGGTCAATATGTGAAAGTAATGACTAATGACTTGAATAGTGATGAGTTTTGAACGCGACTTAAATTAACTTGTCTTAGTGCAATATTAAAGAGTTCTCGTATACAGTATTGCATTAGGTCTTCTCCAGTGTTTACTTGGCTATCAAAGATACAATTACATTAAATCTCAATGAAATTCTTCGTTAATGTCGTTGGTTAAAGATATTTATTGAATATCATTACATTTCAATATATAGAATACTACTGAAATTATGGATGTAATGAGATTAATTTAGTTAGTCTTCTTCCAATTCGTACTGTAAAATGAAACGTCACCCCAAGGTCCGAGTCAGTTTTTTGCATTGAGTATCGTTCGATATTTTTTTGTTTAAGGAAGTTTTTTGGGTGACCTTCATCTCCCTCCTTGAAAAGAAAAAAAAAGTTCCTATTTAAGCATTTTTTATTTTGTTTTCAAAAAGATCGGATATACTTGTGAATCTTGTTATACAGACAGGAATCCACTCTACACCTCCCAAGGCCCGTCTGTTGGGTAATACTGATAGACAGACACCAACAGCCACCTGTTACGGCACGAGAGAAGTGTATTACATCACTGTCCACTACCCATGGAGGCCATCTCTCACAGCAAGGGTGGGGACAAAAAGACCATCATTAGCGGGTAAGTACTCCCTCGCAGGGCTAAAAATATCCCTAGATTACGTAAGTCCTCGGCAACCATCTCGACTATAAATATCCCACATCGTACACAATCATTAACCAATTTTATTAAGAATACTTCATTATTTCTGAGTACCAAAATTACCTAAATTCAAGATAAAATGTTGAGAGCAAGGTGGAGAGGTTAAATGAAGGTTACCTAGCAACGGGTGCGACGCCTGACGACAGCTGAGAAACGATGCATTGGGTTGCCGCAGTGTTGTTCCTCCTCCCGCCAAAATGTTTCGTTGCAAGAAGTTCGTTTATTTTAGTTTCGCATTAACGAAAAGGACCCGAGGGAGATATTTATTATACAGTAGGAATAAATTGGTGATATCCTGAGCTTATTTTAGTGTTGCTGCTTGATTTATCGTCATTATTTTCGCTCTTTATTTCATTTTTCTCAGTTCTTATTATATATTCATTTTCTCTTATTTCTCATTTTATTTCTTCATTTTTCTCTTAGTTATTTTATTTCTTATTTTTCTTTTCTTAAGTATTACCATTTTATCAGTACTGTGTTGTACTTCATCTTCTCTCTGGTTTCATGCATATTTATTCTCATCTTCGCTAACTTCATTATCATTATTACCTTAGTTGTCATCATTATCATTACCTTCATTATCATTAACTCCATTGTCATCATCGTCGTTGCCTTCAATACCACCACCATCATTACCTTCATTGCCATCATCATCGTCTTTGTTGTCATCATAATTATTGTCATTGTCGTAATCTTTTGTCTTCATTGTCTTTGTTCTTGTTCTGTTAAGTTTAAACGGACAACTATGTGCTTCCGCCTTCCGTTCTCCTAATTTTGTTGTGTTTATCGTTTGTTATCATGATTTGACGGGAAAATGATTCTCCCTTTCATTCTTTCTTCTCCAATTTTTATTTATTTCCTTCCACATTTCTTGTTATTTTTGTCTTTAATTAATTTATACAGAGTGAAGCAAGTGTCAAGCCTCGTACCTTTGTTGCCTAACCCACGTACAATATAATCATTTAAACTTGCTAATATTTTTGATAACTTTTATTTATTATTTGTCTTCCTTGCCGATTTTCCATTTATTTTCAATTATATTTTACATGTATGCATTTTCTTAATTCTAGCATTTCTCGTGTTTTTCATTTTTTTATTGATCTATAACTGCTGTATTATTTCCCTTCATTTTTATTATTAGTTTATTATTAATCAAAACATTAATATCAACTGCCGTAGCTGTAAGAGTTTATGAATGTCAGCGAATGAAGTCAATCAATAAACAGTACTGTATTATTGTATTATTTTAATTAGTGTCATGTATGTTTCTGTATATGGAGGACTAATCAAAAGGGGACATTATTTGATTTCCATCCATTTATTTGTTTATTTTTTTGTAATGATCATGCTACGAGTATAAAGGTAGCGAACTGCGTGACTGTGCGTTCGTGTTGCATCTTTGTTTTAATTCGCCTCTATTTTTTTTCTACTTCACTGCTGGTCGCCACTTTTACAATTTTATTCAGCACAGATTCTCGTACCCAACAGATCAACAAACTCCACTAATGTTACAAATCAAAGTTTTCAACCTAATTCCCTTTTCTTATCTCTAGGAATTCATTGTTTTAGCACGAGTGTCTTATAGGGTGCACACTTGTATATTACGAGTATATACTGTAGGGCAACCGTATATACTTTGTGTAGAGCAACACTGTAATTGTGTGGGATGCATTTTACTTTATCTAACTTGCTCTTTCTTTGTCTATCTCATTTCCTTTTTCCGTTATCTTTCGTTTCACTTTGTTGTGTATCGTTATCTTTCTGTTGCTCAATACTCTTTCTCTGAGTTAGCTGCAGTACTGTTGTACTCACTCTCTCCATTCATGTTTATTTTCACGGTCATTAGTGTATGTTCTCGTTCATTCATTCACATTTCATGACAATATCCATCAACTACGCCCCTTTTTATGAAGTAGTTTTTATTATTTCTGTTTCCTACGTTCGTTGTCATTGCCTACTTACCTGAAAGTGAAAATTCAGGTCAATAAACCTCTGAACGATAATTTACGGAACATTCATGTGTATGGGCTAAATAGTGTAATCCTGGTCATGAACTAGACTCTTATCAACCTGAGGTCATTTATCGCTCTGGGTTATGACATGCGTCATCGATCAATAGCGGGTCTCCATGCTGAATGCTGTGAAACTTTTCCCCGGCGCATCACGCCATACAAACATGGCGGGGCGGCTTCAGGTCGTACTCGCTCGCTGATTGGCTGAGGCGTTCGTGTGTGATTACGTCACAGGTTAGCGTGCGCTGATTGGCTGTAGCGACGTGGTGCCACCTCGTCCGAGTCCCGCCTGGAAATTGATGTTTAAAGACACTATAAAGCAGGAGCGGCAAATGGTGTTCCAGTGCACAAGGCGTATTCACGAGGATAACACGAAAAGCCTGATCTACAGTACTGCGTGAAAACTAGAAAACATAGTGATCTCTAACTTATGTAAGTAGGTTGAGTAGTATTGAGTGGGAATGTGAAGGTGTTGGAAAGCTTCCCTGAATTTCCCCGGAAAAAACATTGTTTATTTACCGTTGCAAGTTCAAGTTTCGGCTCGCCAAAATACAAACACATTTTGAGGAATAGATCGCATCGTCTAGTTGTCACTGACGACCTACACTCATATGAAATGTGTGAAGATATTTATTCACTTGGAAATCAGTCATTCGAGCATAACTATTCAGACAGTTGCTTGAAATACTGTACTGTACATAAGTGACAACATCTCGGGGGATTGTTAATATAAACTCTGATCAAGTGTTGTTCTATTTCAGATGTATTTATAACCCTCGTGAGTATCGTTGCTGCACTACAAGTAAATTATTAACACCCGAGTCACCACCACCACCATGCCTGCTTACGCCGAGACCTTGCCAGACACCAAACCAACTCACCCCCACATGATATCTTCTTTAACCAATGGCAAAAAGGTTAGTTTCCTCATGTTTATTGGTGTGAATAATTTTTTTTGGTAGTATGTTGTTGCTTGTTGATTTACTAACTTTAATTATTTGCACAGCGTTAGATTTAGCGATGTTTGAAGTAAGGTTGTTGTTAAGTAAAGATTTGGTTAAGTATTGGGGATATTTGGTTTTATTGGGTCACGTTAGATCTAGGTTAGGTAGCCGGAAACCTATAATTATAACTATTGTTGGATTGGTTCATCTATAGTCGTTTAATATGTTGGTTAATGGTTGTTACTGACAAGAAAGTTTGATTGTTATACAGTTGAGCTGCTGCTGCCAGGTATGTGCTAAATACAATAGTGACAAGAATGCTTGCTTGGAAAGTTTATGGAAAGCCAATTTTGTTTTGTTGCAATACCTCGATAATCGTTAGCTCATTTACAGTTGCTTGCAATTTCTGTGTCTTGTACGGTACTATGTATAAAAAGTAGTTAAATTTGAATAGACGTGTTCAAATGTTAATCTTGGTACTATTTTTGTTAAACATAACTTTAAGAGGCAACTTATAAGTATTGACAATTCATGTGTACTAAGAGCTTGTTGAACGAACTGGCAGTGTCTGCTCGTCTGACAGTTGCCGCTATCAAAATGCCGGTAATCCCCTGCCCGAACTTGAAATTTTGCCCATCTTAAGATCGCGTGCTTGCTAAACTTAGAACTAGTACATTTGATAAAGTTAAGCGACAACATATATCCTTAAAACGTTTTGATAATAAAGCAAAATAACTACTACTTGAAACCGTTAATAATAAATTTAGAACAAATGCATTGAGCTAAAATTAATGGCGTTTAGTTTCATCTTCCAAAGAAAGTAGAATGAATTAAATTACACTCTGGGAAATATCTTCAAAAAGTGTGCCAAGTGTATTTTGGGTTCAGCGTAGAATGGCCGAGATTCCAAGTTTGGGGAGTAGGAGGATCAGGTGAAGGCTAGGGAGTGGCTGGTCATAGAAAACGTTTGCAATAAACGTTAAGATTGTTGAAGGGTAACTAGGGAAAAGATGAAGCGAACGCGACAGAAATATAGATGGAAATATGAATTATCTATATGTTTGTAAATGGAAACGCTGTGTACAATACATTATTTGGGTTGAAAGTCAGTTACTGTAAATAAGAGCCCAATCTGACCGACTAAAGTTAATAGGCTTTTTAGGCCCCCTTATGTTCATCATTACTACTTCCTCTTGTCGCTCCGTATGACTGAACATTTCGCTTTTAACTAGAAGGAAACTCGAAAACGGACTGGTCATACCTGGGCTCCGAACGCGTGAAATATGCTGGCAGTAAAAACTTGTGAAGAAGTTTGTGTGGTTTGAGGGTGTAAGTTTTTTGGCGAGGCATGGGTACCTTTTAGCACCGAACCTGCACACAGAAGCTCTTAAAATGTAGCCAAGGATAGATTATATAACTTTCAAATGATTTATTTCCGAAAAGTTGGTAGTGTAATGATTGAATATCAGATCATAGCTTACAAGCCCAGGGAAGTATAACACATATAACAGAGAGTGTGTAGAGACCTCCTGGTACCCGAACATACCAGGTGGACACACCCCATGACCCAAGGGACCTGACCTCGCCCGCTAATGACTTGAGTTACTGACCTGACCTACCAAGACACACCTGGGCATGACCACAGCTGTCCAGATCTAATCAGTTTAGTATTAATTGGCTTAGGTCGAACGCCGGCTGTGAGCCCCCATATAAAGGCTCGGCAGTCCTGCCCACCGGTTAGGTGGACTAGCATTTTAGCTTAAGGTCCGCGTAGGTAATATTCCTACAAAAAAAAAAGCCCACGGGTTCATTCTGGTTGCTATTCGGCTCATATTGGTCATTGAGTGGTCATTCTGGTCACTCACCCGGGGGGCTTCCCGACGTCACCGGCTAAGCAGAGTCACAGCCAAGCACCCGCTGGGCCTACGTCAGGTTACATAAGAATGGAGGAAACTGCAGCGGGCTTTTTGGCCCATACTGGGCAGTCCCATTTACACCCAACCCTTATTGCTCATATAAGCATCCAACCTATGTTTGAAGCTATCCAGCGTATTCGAGTTAATGATGATATTTGGTAACTTGTTCCATTCATCCACTACTGTTACCAAACCAGTGTTTACCTATTTCGCGCCTAAATCTAAATTTGTCTAATTTAAAACCATTGTTACGAGTTCTCACGTGAGTCCTTGTCAGAGCGGTCCCTAGGGTGAGTTACCTACTGTGGGAAGTGTATTCATTCATGTGTCCGAGAGTCAGTGCCGAGTAACGTAACATAATGTGGTAGTACCCCAATATAATAATGATATTAACCAGTCCATGTCATTGAGTGAATTAATAAATAGTTGTATCGAAGAGGTGTTTGAGAAGTTGTCCCTTTAAGAACGTAAGATATGTGTATTGACATTGTAAATAGCATCCCGGCCACGCTACCAAGCTTTTCCTCTCTTTACATTCCTTCTACTATAGATATTCTACTTGTATGTAAAATCCTCTTGTGAGTTTTGTCTCATTACAGTAGGCAGTAAGGGAGCCGCGTTCACACTTAACCAATTGTTAGGGAGAGCAACAACCTCTAGTGTGTTTTTCCGGGAGAGAGTGGATGGTGACGGTGGTAATTAATAGTTTTTGTTGGTTTTAAACATTCCATTTTTTATGTATATGCAGAGGTCGATGACATTTAAACCCTAGTGCATGAACAAGAAAGATCGTAAATATGATTCAACCATTAAAACGTGAGCTAAAACTGTACATCCCACGAAAAACCGAACACAATAAATTAAACTGATGCATGTGGCGAGTCAATGGGTATGGAGTATAAATACTTTTGTGTACTTGGCATCATATCGTGTACGGTGGCGATTGGTTGTGTATACAGAACCTTTTTCTGGTGTAGATACACGTTGGCTTGCAAGAGTATTGGTAATATATCGTGTAAATATATAGTTATCTCGTCTCCTATACATGGCAGTAGAATCTAAACTATTTGTGGATTTGGTTTCGTTAAGTGGCTTAAAAGTGCAGTATTGTATTTATATGAAGTATTGTGTGTTTTCCTTGCGCATTTTTAGTTTTGAAGGTAGTTGAAGTATGGTGGGGGGGGGGGGGCACTATTGGTCCCTAAAGGCGCGGGTCTGACAACCACGCCCGTGGATTGACAGTTTTGAACAGCTTAATTTGCTAGGGTGGTGCAGAAGGCATCAGAGGTAGTGCACTATCTCCTGTCCTTCCATATACTGACGAAGCCGGCCAACCCGCCTAGTAATTACGTACGTACAGTATATCGATAAACAATAAGCGTGTTTATCAGTACTGACGGGTCGGGTACTGTATTGTATACCGTATAGAAAACGCTATTGGTTATCTTAGTACAGGTAGCCATTATCAATAGACCAATAGGTAATTAAGAGTAACAAGGTTTATATATAACAAAGTACAGCGCATTATTTTAAAGGTACTGTACATAATTACGTATTAATGGTGATTTATATCCCTCACGTTAACAGAGCTCTGCCGGTGCTATGCGGCGAGAAGGAGTGGCGGTGAGCGGCATGTCCGGTCGCTTCCCAGAGAGCAACAGCGTCGAGGAGTTCGCCTACAACCTGTACAACGGGGTCGACATGGTCACAGAGGACGGCCGACGGTGGACTCCTGGTCAGTATTGTTTTTTTTTTTTTGTATCGGAATGGTTCATTTCGTTGAGATTCACCAGGCCCTTTCTTGATATGTTTCGACTAAATCTTCATTGGAGGAGGAATGAGTAAAATATGAATTGTCAGGTAATTTGAGGGACCACAAGATCCAACCAACGTCTGGTTGACTCCTTTGGTTTGCTTCAGAATTGGTTTACTTGAAAGAGTGTAGGGAACAGATTAGCGGACCCCTCGTAAACTTATTTACAAAATCATTAGACACTGGAGTTGTGCCAGACTTGTGGAAACAGGCAAATGTAGTACCCATATTCAAAAAGGGAGACAGAGCATCAGCGTCAAATTACCGGCCGATCAGTTTGACGTCAGTAGTGGGGAAATTTCTTTCATCAATTATAGCAGATAGCATCCGATCGCATCAAGAGAAAAGCAAATTAATCTGCGACTCTCAACATGGGTTTACAAAGGGAGAATCTTGTCTAACAAATCTGCTAACGTTTTTTATGAAAGTCTTCGAGGTTGTAGATAATGACGAAAATTACGATGTTATTTACTTAGACTTTCGCAAAGCATTTGACAGAGTACCGCATCAGAGGCTTCTAAGAAAAATTAAGGCTCATGGTATCGAGGGGAAAGTTTTAAATTGGATAAAATCATGGCTCACCGATAGAACGCAGAGGGTCGGCGTAGATGGTGTTAAATCTGAGTGGGGCCGTGTAACCAGTGGGGTTCCCCAGGGGTCAGTACTTGGCAAATGCATTACAGGAGGATCTAAATAAACTGCAGGGGTGGTCTGAAAAATGGCAAATGAAATTCAACACCAGCAAGTGCAGCGTACTTAATATTGGAAGAACAAATACTTATAATGTATACAGCCTTAACAACATCAACCTAGAGAAGTCGACTTGTGAAAGAGACCTAGGGGTACTTGTAAGCCCGAACCTACGGCCTAGAAAACAGTGCGTTAATGTTCGAAATAAGGCAAACAGAGTACAGTATTGGGTTTTATATCTAGAAGTGTAAGTAACAAGAGTGCAGAGGTCTTATTGCAACTATATCTTGCGCTAGTCAGGCCGCACCTCGATTATGCGGTTCAGTTCTGGTGCCCCTATTATAGAATGGATATAAATTCACTATTGTCGGTGCAGCGAAGAATGACGAAAATGACTCCGGGACTTAGAAACCTTCCATATCAGGATAGGTTAAAGAAACTTAACTTGCATTCCCTAGAAAGACGAAGAGTGCGGGGTGATATGATAGAAGTATTTAAGTGGGTGAAAGGAATCAATAAAGGGGATATAGATAAAGTTCTTATAATATCCGAGCAGGATAGGACTCGGAACAACGGATTCAAGTTGGATAAGTTTAGGTTTAGGAGGGAGATAGGAAGAAACTGGTTCACAAATAGGGTGGTGGACGAGTGGAACAAGCTTAGCAACTTTGTATTAAGTGTGGGAACTCTGGAAAGTTTCAAAAGGAGGCTAGATAGATTCATGGATGATAGAGAGTGGTAGTAACTCGACAGGAGCTGCCATGCACAGGCCAACCTGCCTATTGCAGACTCCTTATGTTCTTATGTAAGTCATGACAAAATGCACGAAAGCGGATGAACGTTGTTTCTGTACATAAATTTCTATTATTTTTTTTAGTGTGGGGAAGGATGGTGAATGCGAGAGCATTAACGTGATTGTAAAATAATTACTACTGTACAATGTTGACGTGTGTATGTCTGAGGTCTTATTTATTTTTTGATGGAGAGGAAGTGAATAAGTTCTGGTGAAAACTTTGCTAGGGTCGTGTGACGATGGTACAGTTTATAGTAAGGTTTGAAGTCTAGTAAAATGTGATAACTAGATAAAATGTTGAAGGTTTATAATTTTGTATAGATTGTTTTCTGAAGGAGTTTTAGGAACTTGATAATGGTTTGTAGTGTAAAGTGTTTTAAGTGAAAGTGAGACCAAGTTGTCAAAATAATGTGCATTTCTTTTTACTGTACTGTAACTGTATACATTAAACAGAAGACAGTTGGGACACGTTTACGATTTCAGATTTCATTAAAAATGTAAGACCACAAGTTTTTTTTTTAGTGTAACTTGCCGAGCAGATAGCCAATCGAAGTTTCCGAATACTCTACATGTACCGTATTGTATTGTCAAGTGCTCTGCAAATTACACAACTTAATTCATTGTTGACAGACATTAACATTTACCTTTTGTCAACACCAGAGCATCATGAAGACTTCTATTAGGCAAGTTCAGAATATTGGAGTACAGTAGTTTTGTTTTTTTCATATTTTGTGCAATTATCTTTTTTTTTAGTAAAAAGCTTCTATCAAATGCTAGTAATAACCTCCAATAAATTGGTAGTTTTTGCTAACCAGACCACAGTGTGGGTTGCCATGGAAGATTAAAAATGTTTTTGTTCTCGTGTGACCATCCCTGACATGTTCAGGTTTGCTTAACATTGAGTGTGGGACTTGAGTTGCGAAATCCCATCAATGAGGCTTTGCATTATGTTGTATGTTGTTTTTCTTAGTACAATACTGTACTGTATTATCCTTGTCCTTAGATTATTCAAGTGTTCTAATACTGCACAGTACAATAGCTCTTGACATAATGTTGCAGCCTGCCAGTTTTAATGTTTACTAACCTGAAACCCTTTACTGTACTGTAATGTACTGTACATTTTACATAATTTAGGTAACTGAAGGTACAGTAATGTGGCTCAAGTACAGAATTTGGCATAAAAAAATGAGGTTTCCCACTTTGTTATTAAAAGGAGCTCATCAATTAAAAAGCAATGGATTAACTTGATCTCAAGGTTTGTGTAGTAGTGTCATAAGTGAAGAACTTTCCAGAAATTATTTTCTAGTCAGTTAAATTATTTTCATGACGAGCAGAGAAGAACCATCGTCCACAAAGATATTGAGAAAACTAAAGTACTGGACTCTGCTGAGATGATGACCCCAACCTTGACCCATTTTTTGCAGGTGCTCATGGGCTGCCTCGACGCTCGGGCAAGCTGCCTGACCTTGCCCACTTTGACAGCGCCTTCTTCAGTGTTTCCCCCCGCCAGGCCCATGCCATGGACCCCCAGCTCCGCCTCCTGCTGGAGCTGACATATGAAGCTATCCTTGATGCTGGTGAGTCTACTGGATGATGTGCTCACAAATAATTGCTCTTTAGAACAGATATGACAACAATTAATTGAAATTTAATAAGAAACTAAATGTGTTTTTCCTTTAGAGGGAAGAATTTAAACAAAACGTTATGAAGAGTTTTTTACTTTGAATTATTTTCCAGGTATGAACCCAAGTGAGCTGCGTGGGCGTCGTGTTGGTGTTTACATGGGTGTGAGCAGCAGTGAGAGTGAGGAGGCGTGGACTGCTGACCCTGCCAATGTATCGGGTTATGCCCTCACTGGTTGCTGCCGTGCCATGTTCCCCAACAGAATCTCCTACACCTTTGACTTTAAGGGTGAGTTGTCACCAGAGTGGAATTCTCTTGATTTATAGTTTATCCAATTTCCTTATTTTATCATTAATTAGTAATTCTAATTTATATTTAGTATGCTGTACACTGTACCTTTGTGAAATGTAAAAATAAAACCAAAATGATATACTGTACATCTTCAGGCCCAAGCTTTGCCATCGACACTGCGTGCTCGTCCTCCATGGTGGCACTGCAGACGGCATGGTCAGCCGTGAGTGAAGGGGAGGTTGAGGCGGCAATAGTGGGAGGCACAAATCTCACCCTCAAGCCACAGAACTCCATGCAGTTCCATGCCCTCAATATGCTTGCTTCAGATGGCAAGTGCAAATCCTTCGATGCCACCGGCAACGGGTCAGTTTTAGTCGCGTTGATGATTAGTCACTCGTGGAATCTGAAAATCTGAATTAGTTCTATGGTATTTAATGCAAATACTGAAATTGAGAGAATGGCAAGTGATAGTAGCTTGGTGAGTAGTTTACAGTGGCAGATGCAGGGGGTGCTGAATGGAACTAGGCTCTCCCATTAACCCATTGTATTACAAGTTATAGCCTTAAGTAAGAGTTGCTCATACTGAGAATATTGTCTTAAATGCTACTGTACCTTCAGAATCCTAAAATCCTGCTTTGTGGTGTTCTGTATGTGTGTTTGAGAAGTCATTTTTTGCTTAGCCGAGAACCTCGTCATTTTAATACTTGCTTTCATTATACAGTAATTTGATTACACCGTAACCAAAACAAAGATCCCAGAGAAACCCACAAAAAATCAATAGGAAAGGTGAACTTGCAATTGGACAAATTAATCCAATGGTGTATGGGTAGCATGTTCAATACAGTACTTGATTTCTAAAAGGTAAAAAGCAAGATATGCATTGTTCTTGTATTAGGAGTGCTTAATAAATTGAAGGTGTATGCTTCAGGTACGTGAGAAGTGAGGCAGCAGTTGTGATCTTTCTGCAGCGAGCCACTGAGGCCCGCAGGGTGTATGCCCATGTGGTACATGCACGTGCCAACACAGACGGCAACAAGGATGAGGGTGTCACGTTTCCATCGGGCAAAGTACAGAGAGAATTGCTACAGGATGTCTACAACCTTGCAGGCATCTCTCCCTTGGATGTATCATATGTGGAGGCCCATGGAACAGGCACCAAGGTTGGCCCTGCATTAATTCTTATTCTCAATCTTAATTTTGTAAATTGTAGGATTCCTTCATTTTGAGGACAGTTGGGCCAGATCTTGACTTTCAATAAAACTGCTACTTTAAGCTCAATAAGCACTTCCTGTTTTCACTTGTGTACAGTACATGGTCTTCACTAAATGTTTAGATAGGATCACAATTTGAGAGGTTTGAATCTAGGTCTGGCTTTTGAATTAAAACTTAAACAATTGGTCGACACAAACATTATCGGTAATTGGTAATTGTTTGAGATTGTTATAGTGGTTCAACAGTTTTTCATCAAGAGTACAGGGTATGTTGGAATAAAATGAACTGGTCTAGTTGTTGGCTGACTTGGTTATTTGCAGCTAGTTCACCATGAGAACCATGTACAGTACTAAACTGAAGTGTCTTGATATTACTTAAATACCATCATAAATGATGAGGGTTTTGTGAAGAGCAAAATTAACTTCCATTTGGTATCCTCAGGCTGGTGATCCACAAGAGGTGGGTGCTCTAGCCGAGGTGTTCTGTGCTGGTCGTTCAACCCCACTCCTTATGGGCTCTGTCAAGTCTAACATGGGCCACTCAGAACCTGCCTCTGGCCTCTGCTCCATAGTGAAGGTCAGTTCACCTCTGCCTTAAATCTGATCAGTAATATCTAAATACTATGCAGTACATACAGTACTTTCCTGATCATTCTTTTGATATACAGTATAGTACTGATATATTACCTGCTATAAAAGCCTGTTCTTACTGAGATGACAGTTCCATTAATTTTTAATATTTTGAAATGTTTGATAAACCATACAGTATTATGTTGTTCAGGTACTGCTAGCAATGCAGAGAAAGGAGTTACCTGGAAACCTGCACTTTTCTACACCTAACCCTGATATTCCTCCTCTGGTAGATGGCAGGATCAAGGTACGCACCTTCCATTACAGTACTTTACTACACTGGCCAGTTACCACCACTCGTGTGTAGTATTAATCACTGTTGTGCATCCTGTATCTCGCTAATTTGGTTTCTGATGCCTTAATTCTCACCTTTATGTGGAAAGAATTTGTAATGTGGTCTATTTTGACTTGTGCTTATGATCTATAATATACAGTAGATAAGGTACATCCTCTGCCACTACTATGCAATACATAGCTTCAGCATGTCTGCTGTTCTTATTTTCATCTAGTACTGTCTATTGATGTGTTATGTATTCTTGACATTTGCCTAAACTTAATTTTGGTACTAGATGCAGACTTAATGTTGTCTACTGTCCTACTCTAATCTAAATTTTTTGCAGGTGGTGAGTGAGAACACACCTTGGTCAGGTGGCTTTGCAGCTGTGAACAGCTTCGGATTTGGTGGTGCCAATGTTCATGTGTTGCTACAATCCAATGGGGATTTGCCTAAACCCTCTTCTCCTGCTCATTCAAGATCTGTCCTTATCCCCTCCACTCATAGAATAAACCCAGCATCTTCCTCTAATGGGATAATGTCAGATGACTGCAACTTTGCCATGGATGCAAATGGGAAATGCACACAAGAGGATTCCTCAATGAATGAATTTCTTTCAAATGATCAGCCAAGGTTGGTGGTGGCTTCTGGACGCACTGTGGAGGCAGTGACAACATTGTTGGAGGGGGTCAGGAGGAAAGTCACCCCAGCACTCTGTGGCCTAATTGATAAACTCTCGGATATGCCAACAGTCGGTCACCCAGCACGTGGTTTTGTTACTATAAACTCTGAAAAGGAAATGGTGCAGGTAAGGAAGTTGTAATGTTATGAATGTGAAATGGTAGTTTATACAATTAATATTAAAGATGTAAAGCAAGGTGAATTACTCGTCATTTATTAGAAATCTGTCAAAATTGTTGTAAAATATTGGAAACATTAGTCCATATTTTTTTCTCATCCATATGGACATATTAATACCTGGAGTCATAGCACATATTAATACCTGGAGTCATAGCAGTGTGCCTTACATCCGGCACACTGAAGAGAATTGTGTAGAAAAAAGGTACAAATAATGATACAGGTATTCTGAATATAAAGTAGCAAGTTAGTGCTTCCCTATTGACACCTATACAGTAGGTGTATGTATCGGAAATGACTGGAGTTAGGATTTGATTTGACGCGTAAACTCGTCCCATTATGGCACTTGGGGTTAATAATGAACTGACCATCCGTCACTTCTACCAATAATATCGCTTCATGTCCTTTATCATGTTTTGCGCAGGTGTCTCGTGTCTCCCCCACCCAACGGCCCCTTTGGCTGGTTTTCTCTGGCATGGGTTCGCAGTGGACTGCCTGTGGCCGTGCCCTCCTCCGCCTTCCCACCTTTGTTGCCTCCATCAGAAGGTGCCATGCTGCCCTCCAGCCACTAGGACTTGACTTGACCCAAATTCTGACCAACGAAGACCCTGCAGTCATGTCTTCAACAGCAGCAAGTTTCTCTGCCATTGCTGCCATGCAGGTATGATAGGGGCAATGAGGCTGATGCGCATACCATATCACATTGTATATTATCAAATTTTATCATGTTTTATTTTAAAACTAGCTCATGTTGTATATGCTAAATTTTAGGTGGATTAATTGAAGGATTTAACATTTATTGTTAATTTATGGAGATTATTAATACAATAACCATAATCCATGAAGATGTTCATTAAATCAGTGCTATTACACACCTTAATACACTCCCTCAGGTACTGTAATTCAAACCGTTCTCTCCTCAGTTAATTCTTTTATTCTCTTGGATGTACTGCTTCCATTTAATGTTTTATTTTCCTCATGAAAGGTGGGCCTCGTGGACCTGCTGAGGTGTGTTGGTGTGCAGGAGATAGCTGGGTTGGTTGGTCACAGTGTTGGGGAGCTGGGCTGTGCCTATACCGATGGAGCCTTGACAGCAGAACAGACAGTTCTGGCAGCTTACTGGCGAGGCCAAGCTGTACAGGAGGCCAGCCTACCCCTGGGTGCTATGGCTGCTGTTGGTGAGTTACTGATGTTGTCTCTTTTATTGTGACTTGTTGGGTTTCTCCAGAATGGTTAACTTGTGTAGATAATAATCACAAACTTGGTACAGTACAGTATGTGTATAAAATGAATTCAATTTTGTTTATGGTATTTTAACGTCACTAATATTATGTATGACGGTCATGATCATATTAAATAACGAAGCTAATTTAAAATGTCTAATGTGTAATTATTGTGGCTGTTATTTTATTAGTCATTCTGACTTGTGTGAAGACCTGAAAGTAAATTGCAAAAACCATTCATTATACAGTACTGTACATAGTGATCTATTTCATCAGGTCTGGGTGCAGCAGAAGCAGAAAAGTGGTGTAAAGATGGAGTTATTGTGGCCTGCCATAACGCCCATGATTCTGTCACTCTCTCTGGTCCAAAAGAAGCTATTGAAGCTGTGCTGGAAAAGCTGTCGGCTGAAGGAATATTCTGTCGTGCAGTCAATTCTGAGGGCGTGGCCTTCCACCACCCATCACTGAAGGCTGCTGCACCACGCCTCTTAAAAGAACTGATTAAGGTACTTTAGTTTAAGCAATGTTTGTGGCTAGTTCATAGCAACTACAAATAAGACCAACAAGTAATAGGCCATTATTTTATACAGTAATTTTTACTTGTAATGTTGGTCCTGTATTTTTCTTTCTACTTTGAGGCTTTTTCTCCTTGACTTGCCAATCACATTTGAGAGAGGAGTAAGTTTCCCAAGTAATTCAGTGGTAATGTTTTATAGAATTGCTATTTTTAAGGAATTCCTCACCTGTTTAACACAATTAGAAGTCAAGTGAGGGCGATGTATGGGTGTAGAAGATTCTGATACAGCAACTGGGAAATTATCAAGTGTATTTATGGTGCAGGTGATCCCATGTGCCCGGCCGAGGTCATCACGCTGGGTGAGTTCATCAGTGCCAGAGGCGCGCAAGGATGCCCCTGGAGTCAATGTTGCTTCTGCCGACTACCTTGTCAATAATCTTCTGTCACCAGGTTGGTACACTATACAGTACATGTACTTGGATCTTTATAGGGATGGAAAACCTTAACTTCAGTCATGAATAGTTAAAATTATGCTTGATACATTCAGGTAAAAGTGAATGGCATTCCAAAGCAATTAGAGACCTGTACCGTAAGCATCTGTTGTCAGTATAAACTTAGTTTTCCTGTGTACAATATGTATCTTGCTGACATTGAAAGATATTTTTGATACTGGAGTATAGACTGAGGGTAGTTTTATTGAATTTACAGTACTATTTGCGGAGGCTCTCGAGAAGATTCCTGCGGAGGCTCTGGTTGTTGAGGTGTCGCCCCATGGTCTCTTGCAAGCCATCCTGAGAAGGTCGCTGCCACAAGCAACACCAATCCCTCTTATTAGGAAGGATGCAAAGTGCACCCTGACCCACTTCCTAGAAGCACTTGGCAAGTGAGTAAATAAGTACAGTACTTTATGGAGAAACCAGATCTGGCAATATAGGATTCAGTACATAGTCGGTAAATATTAATATTACTGTACTTACAATGTAACTACTGTATTGTATAAAAATCACTCGATAAATGATAACTTGGTTATGTCTGGCTATGAAGTGAATTAACATGTTAGTTGAATAGCTAGCAACTTTATCATTTATTGATTAATGCTAATAACCTACTGGTGCAGTGCAGTATATTTAATGGGACCAGACTTGAAATGTCTGTACAATATACAATACAGTGAATGTCTCCTTGGTTAGTTATTTCAGATACTTAAGGCACTTTACCTATTTATATTTAGAATCTGTTGCAAACCAATATTTTTGTTTTAGGATGTATGTGGGAGGTGTAAGCGTGGATGTGAGCGCACTCTACCCTCCCCTCGCTACACCCGTTCCCCCTTCCACCCCCTCCATCGCCAGCCTTATCGGGTAAGTCCTCATTATTTACCCTGTCCTTTACTATAACAGGTAGGTACTGAAATACTAATGAAGAGAATTATATGTACAGTACAGTATGGTACTTCTCACATTGAACAGACTGTTAATGAATTGTGCCAGCAAAGATTATCAAGGCAGTAATTACCCATGTAAATGTATTTTTTTTTACTTTAGATGGGACCACAGCCAGGAGTGGGATGTGGCTCGCTTCAACACCACTGCAGCTGGGTCAGAGTACGAGGTGAAGGTGGACTTGGAGTCTGAGGAATACCGCTACCTGGAGGGTCACACTATTGATGGCCGTGTCATCTACCCTGCCACTGGTTATTTGGTGAGTTCCTGTAGTCTGTCCATTGAGGTATCTGTTAGAAACTTTGATGAAATTTGTAGCTATTGGTATACTCTTTATAGTGGGCTTTTGAGTGCAATAATCTTCAGCTCTCCAAATTTGAACTTAAATCCTCGATCCAGTTTTTCTGCATTTGCATAATTTATTTTGGGCATATCAAATACTGGTACTTGGAATTACTCCTCAAAGACCTGAATAAATAACCCTGTCGATAGATAAAGGTAAAAAATTAAAAGGTATTATGCTTTGCAGGTGTTGGCATGGAAAGCATTGTGTCGCCTTAAGGGTTTACAGTGGGAGGAAACGCCAGTCACCTTTAGTGATGTGACACTCCACCAGGCCACTGTCCTGTCCTCTTCCTCCAGTAGCGCTGCTGCCACCACCCTCACTGTCAGAATCCTGCTCATCAAAGGCGAATTTGAGGTGAGTTATGAATGTCTTTTTAAAGTTTATGTTGCATATTTGTTCCATGTAATACTTTTTCTAATAATTTGTCACTTCCAAAATGCATTTTTTCTTGCATCCCAAAGGCTATGGTTTACACTTATGTCGGCTGAAAACTTTTTGTGTATAGTAGTGTACTGTACAATTATATCCCCTTCATTGTCTTTGATGACAGTGCTTTCTTTTTACATTTGTCACTTCACCTAGTACTTGCTTCATTTTGCTGCTCTACTTCCCATTCTGTATAGTGATACGCATCACCAGACTTGTATCTCTCTTCTCCTTTAACGGTGACATTACTGTACACATAATTGATATACTGTGCTGTTCAGTTTTCATTGCCAGCAAGTTTTCCTTATTTCAACAAACCCTGAAGATATATGCCTTGCTTGTCACTGGGGGCTAGTAGGATATACTGTACAGTACCTGTACAGTATACCTTATATAAACAAGAAAGGCTTTACTAGTGAATTTTACCTGTGATAGTTCCCATTTTGTAGACACGGTTAGCATATTGAAGCTCTTCCATTAGTAGGAGGTACAGTATTCTATAGACAGGGTCCACTAATGAGCCTTTGAACTTTTTTTTTATTATTTTTGTGTAAGTGGAATTAGTACTGTACATACACATTTTTTTCCTAGCGACATGTTTTGACTGTTAAGCTTCTGCAGGTTGTGGTAAGTGACTCTGTAGCTGCTTCAGGCCGCATCCACCACGGAGTAGATCATTCAGCTGAGAGCAAGATGCTAGTGGACTTCCTGGCTTCAGCAACTCAAGAAAATGGAGGAAACTTACTGCAGAAGGATGTGTACAAGGAACTTCGACTTAGGGGATACCAATATGGAGGCATTTTCCAGGGCATTGCAAAGACTGACTTGCAAGGTGGGTGAAAATCATTCTGTAATCAAATAACCAAATTTTGAAGTGTTCGGTTTCATTGCACAATTGTGTACTGTATGGGTCGGAGAAGTGTAGCAGGTGTCAATCTTTTAATCTAACATTTATCATATACAGGTTAAATATTTTTTTTTTACTTTTGTTAGGTACCCATGGGAGCCTTATGTGGAAGGAGAACTGGGTGGCATTCTTGGACACAATGCTTCAGTTCTCTTTAGTTGGGTCCAAGCAACGTGCACTGATGCTGCCCACTAGGATACGCAAAATCACTGTAGATCCCAGCAAAATTCTTGGTGATGTGAAAAAGGAGGATGACATCAAAACAGTGTTTGTAAGTATTGTGACTAGAAGGGGTTGGTTCACATTATGGATTGTTAATACAGTATGCTGTATATTTAAGCTGGTACTGTATCCCATCAGAATTAAATAATTACAAATGAGGTATGGAAATTATCATACAGATATTGGTACAAACTACTGTTTTGTCTGAACCTTGTTACTTAAGGATCACATCAGGCTCTGCTGTGCATCGTGTATAAAAAGGAGTCGGGTTATATTAATTTTTTTCTCCATTTACCTGAGTATGTAGTCAAGTTAGGTTTTGACTGAGAATTCCTTTAAAAAAATTTCTGCATCACATTTTTGATGTGTACATTTACAAAATTTAAAAATATTGCGAGTGTCTCATGCCCATTGACTTTGTCCAGGTGAAACACAATTCCCATGTGGGCATAACTGCTTGTGATGGTGTGGTCATACAAGGACTGAAGGCCACACTGGCCCCAAGAAGACCTACCCAAGACCACCCTCTGTTGGAGACATTCCAGTTTGTGCCACGCCATCTGACAGAAGATCATCCAGTCTCCTCTTTGATGACAACAGAAGAGAGCCTTGGAGTACTTCTTGACTTGGCATTGGAGAACACCTTAGGTCGTGGTCTGAAGATTGTGGAGAGCGCTCCCTGTGTGGCCTCCACCAACATAGAACAGGAGACCATCTTGGCACACACTTTCATGAATATCCTTAACTTGAGACCAATGTTAAAGGTGGGTTAATAATTCATAAATATTTGAAGCACACATTCAGATTGACAGAAATGGACAAGATTTAAGAGTTGTAGGGATAGATTTATGACACATTATTGCTTTGAAACTAAAGTTTTCTTGTGTGTTTAATGAGTTGTCCTCATTTTATGGCAATTTTCCATTCTTGCATGTGTTGGCTTCAGTTATATGACGACACTTGTAAAAAGTATAAGTGGAAATTTTAACCTTTTTGTTTCTTTATATAATTTGTAATTACCATGGTGTATCCCAAACAGGTGGATTACATCCTGCACACACGAGACGCACTACCTGCTGAGGAGCAGGAGCGTCTAGCCTCTGCTGGTGTAGCGGTGAAGACTAATCTTGCTTCTACTCTTTCTCCTACTCCACACTTCCTTATCCTCCACCAACTTGAAGACTCGGAGATCATTGACAAACTGAATGGTGGTTCTTTCATCTTCACAAGAACCAAGGATGTAATGGAGGTTCTGAAAACAACTGGGTGTCAGGAGATTGCTTCTGTTGACAAGATTGGAATGAAGTTGTTTAGGAAGGTAGGGATGTTATTGATGGTCCTATATTAATTGAAAGTCGGGAGTTCAACCAGAGATCATTGTGAACGCTCTACCACCGAGTTGTAGAAATCTTCCCGAGGTTTATAAATATAGTTCAGTACAGTACACATAATTGTCTTACCTCATGATTGAGCTTCATATGTGGTCATGATTGACTGTTCTCTTTGGCTGAATCTTAAAAGTGCATAAATTTACAGCCAATAAATTTATTAAAATTTGTGTAGTATTTTGGTTAAATAAAATGTTATCAATGTAAGATGAACCTGGAGACTCTCGACCCTGGTGGATGGGTTTATTAGGACATGAATGTTATTAGGAATTCTTTTTAGCAGTCTTGAAGTTGACTTTATTGAAGAACTAAGTTTGTTTATTCTCCCATAATCAGAACAACCCTGAGGTTCCCTACACAACACTGAAGATCAGCAGCTCTGACGGAGACTTCTCCTGGGTGGCCACACTGAAAGAAAAAATTCTCTCTCCAAATACTGACAACGTGTGGCTTGTTTCTTCTGGCGAACCTTTGTCGGGTATTCTAGGACTTGTGAACTGCCTCAGGAAGGAACCTGGTGGAGATAAAGTAAGGTGAGTGTTTTGGGTGGTAACTTTTTATTTGAAGGTCTTGATCAGGTTACTGAAAAATGCACATCATATTTTGAGTATTGTTTTTTTTTTGTACTGTGAAATATTAATGCTGTACATGTTATTGGAATGTTTTGTTTGTCTTTTAGGTGTGTGTTTGTTCCTGAAGGCAAAGCTGAAGTAGACTCTGATTTGTTAGCCAGTGATTTGGCCATCAACGTTTGCCGTGGAAACCTCTGGGGCACACACAGATTCTTGCCTTTAAGTCAGTTGGCCCCTCAGCCATCCACTCATGCTCTATTGAATGTGGCTACACGTGGTGACTTGACCTCCCTCACCTGGTTCCAGATGGCTTCTCAAGAAACCTCTCCAGAAGTTGATGACGGCATGAAGGTGTGTGATGTTTATTACGCACCACTGAACTTCCGTGATGTGATGCTGGCTACAGGAAAACTGCCACCAGATGCGCTGCCTGGAGACCTAGCTATGAGGGTGAGACATCTGCAGAATTCCTTTCCATTTTGATTTGTAGTAATGATGTTAATCACAAATTTGCATAAGAAAAAAACCTAATTGTTCTTTTCCCCAGGAGTGCATCTTGGGCCTGGAGTTTGCTGGTGTGAGTGATGGGAAGCGTGTAATGGGTCTTGTGGCTGCAGGTGGGTTGGCTACTAGTGTGAGGGCTGACCCCCTGCTCACCTGGCTTGTCCCTGCCTCCTGGTCCCTCAAGGATGCTGCTACAGTCCCAGTAGTATATGCCACAGTAAGTACAGTACAAGTTTTAAGAGTATCCTTGTCAGTTTTGGTTCCAATAAAAATTTTCTTTGCATTTTAAAATTTACCCTTAAACTGAATATTGTTTGTATAGTACAGTACTGTACTCTTGAAGGCATTTTTTCATGTTTTTGATAAGCAATTGTGGTGTAATTTAATAAACAATTAGGAATGTGTTTCAAAGATGTTAAATTTATTGTTTGCATGAATTTGTTATTAAATAACTTATTTTGCTATAGCAAGATACATACCAGATAGTCCTAGTGAGTATATAAGAATACAATAGTTACCTGTAATTGAATGATTGTAAACCAGTGAGGTGTGACTCCCTAGGCATATTATGCGTTGGTGGTGCGTGGAAGGCTGCAGCGTGGAGAGAGTGTCCTCATCCATGCTGGGTCTGGTGGCGTAGGGCAGGCAGCCATCAGCATTGCCTTGTCATACTCTTGCACAGTATACACCACTGTCAGCACCGCTCAGAAGAAGGCAGTTCTGCAGAAGCGCTTCCCTCAGGTATTCCAAAACATCAGAGGAAGCATGCAAGCTGTGGTTTTAATATTGTATTTATTTTTTAGAAATGTCTGATAGCCAGTAATCGGTGAATTGTTGAAGATGTCAAATATTTAGAATAATTCTTTGGTGTTTTCCTAAAAAAAAATTGTAAAGAATAAATTGAACCACTTCTTTCAGCTCCGAGATGAGAATTTTGCTAACTCACGTGATGTGAGCTTTGAGTATGCTGTTCTTGAGCGCACTGGAGGACGAGGTGTTGATGTGGTGCTAAACTCTCTGGCTGGGGACCTCCTGCAGGCTTCAGTCAGGTGTCTCCGAGAACATGGCCGTTTCTTAGAGATTGGCAAGGCTGATCTCTCCAACAACACTGCCCTTGGTGAGTAATGGAACGGTCTCGGTCATCAAAAACTGAAAGTTGATAAAATCAGATTGGTACACAATTGTAGATTATTTTGAACAATTCATTATCAGTTTGCTAAGATGCCATAAAGTACCTTAAACTATTACAGTAATTGCTTCATAGTGCTTTGTATATACTGCATCGACAGGATCTTTTTTTTATAATTTTCTCCTCTTTAGGCATGGCCATATTCCTGAAGAATGTGACCTTCCATGGGATCTTGCTGGACGCCCTATTTGATGCCTCGCTGGAGGAACGACAGCGATTAAACCATCTCGTTGCAGAAGGTCTTACAGCTGGAGTAGTGACTCCCCTTCCTTCCACACTATTCACAAGGGACTCTGCTGAAGATGCCTTCAGGTACATCACCTGTTTCAAGTACTTAAACTATTGGTTTGATGTGCTAGATTCCAAATGTTAAAGAAAGGAGGTTTTAATATTCAAGTATTTTATCTTTAACTTTGTATAAATTTTTCCAGACTTAGAATTTGACAACACTGCTTGCTTTTGCTGACTGTGATTGGTATGATATTAAGTTGGCTGTTTACAGGTACATGGCAACAGGAAAACACATTGGTAAAGTGGTGCTGGAGGTGAAGCCGGAGGTAACAGATTCGCCTGCCTCCCCTAACTCTGCCCTGGTGCAGGCTGTGCCTCGGGTGATTGCCCATGGCCATATGGTGTATGTGATCACAGGAGGGCTGGGAGGTCTGGGGTTGGAACTGGCTGGGTGGCTCATTAGTCGTGGGGCAAAGAAGCTGGTGCTAACCTCTCGCCGGGGCATCACTACTGGCTACCAGGTAGGCCATGAAAATGGGCAGCAGTTTCTCTTAACCCTCAAATTCACATTGTGCTCAAGTTACTTTGGTGGATAGAAAATTGTAACATAATTGGGAGATCTTTTATCTTTAAATACAGTATACGGTGAACCCTCGAAGATCCGGACTAAAAAGGGGGACCACATGTCCGGAAAAGCCGATTGTCTGGAGTTTACGGCGAATAATAAATGATATAAGAAACTCCAAAAAATACAGTACTAATGTAGTGATACACAAATTACCGTAGACTGTATAAACCATGAATTTACTCATGGTAACGTACCGTATATCACGGCCTATAAGACGAAATTTGAACATTAAAAAAATCTGCCCAAAGTTAGGGGGTCGTCTAAACCACCAAGTTTAAAATTCTTACCTCTTAAATATTGTGGTTTAGTGTGTCAAGAGTGGTGATGAAAACATCGTAAGCCACTCACAAGGTCTTACCACTAATTATTTTATACTGAAACTTACGTTTGGCAAGCTGGATTCAAATTAAGATTACCGGTATATTAAAATAATAAAAATGTATTATAAACCTGTCTAACATACCGTAAAAGAGATTTATACCCCTATAATAAACACAGCTATCATCACACACCCCTCCCCACGCCCCCCCCCCCATTTGCCAGTGAGGAGCCGTGGAGGTGGTCAGTAATGCATACCGGTATCGGTATATTTACTCATAATAATATTTATCTCCTATAAATAATTGATTTAAATTTTATTTTTTTCCAAAGAATATTCAGTAAATGAGTGCATTAATTCTTGAAACTATCGACGGTTAATTACAGACGCTCAAGTGACGTCACTAGTGTTTACACTACACCAGCTGGTAATATTTGATGCCATTACTTGAAGTGAATTGGCCTTATTTTAAGTAACTAACTATAAATAAATACAAAAATTAAAAAAAAAGATCAAAACTGAGAAATAATATACTGTATGTATGTTGTGTTGTCAAAGTAAGAGGAACAATTGTGTAAGTACGTAATATTTTTTCACTCAAATCCTAATGAAACACTACTGGAGAACATTCCTTTGTCGCAAAACAGTTTATAAATTAAAGAAAATAATTACAGTGTGTTTAATATATTACAGTATATTATAAATAAATAAATAAAACAAATAATTCGGTAAATCTATTTAAAGTAAATGGAAAATAAGCAAACATGTTATTTACCAAGACCCTTCCGTCTGGCTCAGGGTGAGATGTAGGGGAGATAAAGAAGGCTATTTATAGCCCATCAGAAGTGACCAGTACCCTAATGCACCATAAATAATTCATTGAACATTCATTTTTTGTACATAGTATATTCAGTATATATATATATATATATATTTATATATATATATATATATATATATATATATATATATATATATATATATATATATATATATATATATATATATATATATATATATATATATATATATATATATATATATATATATATATATATATATATATATATATATATATATATATATATATATATATATATATATATATTTGTGTAATAAATGTATGTAGTAAGTACATACTGGTAACCTTTTTCACTCAAATCCTAATGAAACACCACAATTAGAATACGGTGGTTGCTGTTGAATCACATGTTGTATAAATAGTCACACCACCGAGACGAGGGAACACTCCCAACACGCTTCAGTGACGTCACTAGTGTTTACACTACACCAGCGGGTATAATTTGATGACATTACTTGAAGTGAATTGGCCTTATTTTAAAAAATCAAGGATGGTTGGTAAAGGACTACTGAGTCAGTGGGCAAGTGTCACATTTGGGGTACTGGTCTTATACAGCAAATAGAGCTCAAAAGCTACTTTTTAAATGGAAATTTGGGGGGGGCGTCTTATGCACCCCGCCGCCTTATAGGCCGTGATATACGGTACTCGGAAACATTGTATCATTACTGGAGTGAATGAAATAATATTCCCACAAACAACAATTGTCAACCGCTTGTTTCCCACCTCCTCGGGCACCTGTGTCCAAGCAACTGACGGGTCAAGCAGTGCCCACAAGCCTTAAGTGTTCTTTTGCTCTGGTTTGGAAATGCTTCTTGGGGAACCTTCTAGGAGGCTTCTTGGCCCAGAACCCCCAAATTTTTTGTCCAAATCTTCCAAAATCCGGATTTCCCGGGTCCAGATCTTCGAGGGTTTACTGTATACAGAATTTGTTCAGGACTTCATACTGAGCTTTAATACAGAGTCCTTTAAGCCAGTGTGAAGAGAAGCTTTCATATTAATTGTAGTTGTACTGTATTACTGTACTGGTATAGGAATGAGGATTAGCATGTTGAGACTGGCAGATGAATATTCTGAAATTTTCAGGGGTAAAGGCCATGGGTCTCCTTTTTGGATCTTTAGGAAAATGTGGTTTTCTTTGAAGGGCTTTATCAAAAAATTTGGTCTTAAATTATGAAATTTTGATGAAGGTAATTGTCATCTAAAATACTTGTACAGGTGCTCGTCTACTTACGAACGAGTTACGTTCCTGGGGCTTGTTTGTAAGTCCAACTTTACCCCTGTAGATACCAAACATTGTAAAAAAATGAAAAGATTATGGATATTTAGTACAGCTATACCCTTTAATACAGCCTTAAAACCTGGCTCGCACTTCTCCTCTTGGGTAATGTTTGTTCTATCTGGAATTTTCTTAAAAATAATCCAGCCTCATCCTCATTAAAAACCTGTTCTGGCAGGTAAACCCCCCCAGTGATGATGTTTGTATCTGTGAAAGTTTGTAAGTTGAAAGTTTTTAAGTATAGGAGCACCTGTATGCACATTTTGGGATTGGTGGTACGATCAACTGAGATTTATAAATTAAATTTATAGTGTACCGTTGACAGAATTTTGGTGCATTAATGGCCAACCACAATCTCCTGTTCTCCATTCCTTTGCCATTTACTGTAAAGTAAATGTTGTCTGAGGTTATAGTTAAAGTACATGTACTGTACTGTGTGTTGTTGCTATAAGAAGTAATCTTGTTTACGTAATCATTATGAAAGTTAATCCTATAGTAAACATAAACATTTCTGTGTAAAGTTTGTCCTACCATCTCCATGTCCTTCCTCCAGGCACTTTGTGTGCAACGGTGGCGTAATTCAGGTGTAAGTGTGCGAGTGATGACGCAGGATGCTTCCACCATTGCTGGTGCGACCACTCTACTCCAGACGGCTGGCGAGGAAGGGCCTGTTGGTGGTGTCTTCCATCTTGCTATGGTGAGAATGGCATTCCTAACTGGTTCTGGAATGAATATTTTGTTTTGATACTAGAATATAAAATAAAAATTCACCATTCATAATTGATAAGAATTGTGATGTTGATTTTGAAATCCAAGGCCATGAATGAGAAAAATAGTTATTTTAGGGCTTGTTGAAGAAAACCACAGAGCCGCCATAACGCATGGGCACGCTGGGTAGTTGCCCAGGGCCCCTAAAATTGTGGGGCCCTGGTCAACTGCCCAGCGTGCCCATGCATTAAGATGGCTCTGTGAATAAAGCATGCCACTACTAAATGACGAAGTCGATGATACACTTAATGAGGGTACTGTACATGAGGTTGCTTGGCCTGTCGAAGTCCGCCACCGAATCTCTGCGGATAATCTAGAATTAAAACGTAGAAAAATTGAAGAACCTTTGTATCCAATTAATTATGTTTAATTTTACTGAAAGTTTTAGTTTTCATTTGAGTGGGTGGGTAGGGGCCCCAGGACATTGCCTTGCCCAGGGTCTAAAATGCTGTTAAGATGGCCCTGGAAAACCATACAAGCATGTGATGTTTTGTCAGGTGCTGCAAGACTCCTTCCTTGAGAACCAGTCACCAGAGACCTTCCGTGCAGTAAATACTGTTAAGGGTGATGGAGCCGTGGCGCTGGACATAGCCTCTCGCATATCTTGCCCAAATCTCCATTACTGGGTTGCCTTCTCCAGTGTCACCTCTGGGAGGGGCAATGCTGGTAAGTGATACCATTTTGCAAAATAATTCTATTTTTGCTGGATTTGATTACATAATAAACATTGTAATTCCTTAGTATGTAGTACTGTACACCACTTGAGTTAAGAGTGTACTACCTTATTTTGTTTTAGGTCAGACCAACTATGGCTGGGCCAACAGGGTGTGTGAGGGAGTGGCAGAGTCCCGGGTGCAGGCAGGCTTACCTGGAGTAGTTGTACAGTGGGGTGGTATTGGCGAGGTTGGCGTTCTTGCTGATAACTTTGGTGATGTTGAGGTTAGTCCTGCTTAACATGTATTTATTTATTTATTTATTATTATTATTTTATTTTTGTACAATATACTGTTCTATAGACTCAGAATTGTAACAACTTTAAATTATCACTTGTGATATAACCTCAAAAGTTAGTACTGTACAATTTTATATCCATAAGAAATGCACAGTTTGTTTAAAAGGTCATTTGGAGATTTTCTCCATATTCAATATTTTTTTTTTTTTTTTTCAAAAAAAATTACTGAGACAAGATTATGGCTTCACTTAGGTGGGTGGGACAAAGCCCCAGTCAGTTCGGTCGGTACTGGAGTGCCTGGATGTGCTGATCTTGAGTGCCTCCCCAGTGGTGTCCTCCTTCTGCCTTGCCACAAGGAATTCTGGCAAAGCAGATGGCATTGGTGGTGCCTCATTGGTCAAATCCATTGCTAATATCCTTGGTTAGTCTTTTATATTTCTTGTTCTTAAACTTTCATCTTAATTTTCACAATTTAGTTCCACTTAAGTATTAAATGATGTTTATTTCACATTAAATTTATTGAGTGTCTTTTAAAGACCTCCAATATTTTCATTTTTTGATAAATGCAGATGGTAATCTTATTTTCCTGGACAAAATAAAGTTTGACATTTCCCCAGTTCACACTACTGTACTAATCTTTGTGATGTTACAGGAATGAAGGATGTTTCAAAGGCTCCCTTGGATGTGACTCTTGGGGATCTGGGCTTGGACTCCCTCATGAGTGTAGAGGTTAAGCAAACATTGGAGCGAGAAGCTGACCTCATCCTTACTGCTCCTCAAGTCAGGGAGCTCACTCTCAGGATGCTCCAAGACCTGGAGAAGCAAGGTGGTGCCCCTGCCCAGTCCACACTTGAGGGTAAGTAATAGTTTGATCTCCAAATGTTATATTTAGTGGAAATGGCCAAAAAAAAAAAAAGAGTATGGGATTCAACTTGATGTCACGGCAGAACTACGGTTTATAATCATTGTGGCTATTCACATATGAATCATTACCCACGAGATAGACTCGTGGTCTGTCTGGTGCTGGAATATAATTTCAAAAGTTGCTGCCACTCTTGATATAGGGACATGGTGTTCTTCCATGTTGTCGGTTTCTGTCAGATTTTTTCCACACCAATGTTCTCAATCTGTTATAGGACCAGAAGCCACATCAACAAAGGTTGCAGTGAAGCCAGTGTCAGAGGAGTTGCAAGTGCTCCCTCAGCCATGGCTAACCTTACCACTACTACCAGAAGTTTGCATTAGGGTGCTGCGAGAGGGTGGCAGCACACACATCCCGCTCTTCCTGGCTGCTCCCATACAGGGTACAGCAGACCCCCTTACTGAGGTTGCAAAGCGCCTTGATAGACCTGTGTATGGTCTGCAGTATCCACCTGACCTTCCCCATCAGTCCATTACAGAGATGGCCAAAATCTTGGTACAGGTGAGAAATTAATTTTTTGAGTGATTTACTTTAACTGTACTTATTTTATTTAGCTGGGTTTTAATAATATGGACAAGTCCCGAGATTGATCCAGCTCTTTCATGACCGTTAACAACTATTACCTGTTGCCCTAGTTTCGACTGGGCTAACGCGTCAATTTGGCGGCATGTCTGTATTTATCCATGGCATTTTTGGGGGTCCATTTCCAGTAGTAGTAGTTTACAGTGGTGGTGTACAGTTGGCAAAATGTCCTTCAATGCTATAAGTGTCCTATAACACAGTATGACAAAACCAACAATAACTATGAACATTTCTGTCTTGGGAGGTTTTATTGTAAATACAGGTGCTCCTCTACTTAAGAATGTTCAACTGTCAGATATACAAACATCATCACTGAGGGGGGTTACCTACCAGAACAGGTGTTTAATGATGAGACTGGATTATTTTGAAGAAATTTCCAGATAGAACAAATATTACCTAAGAGGAGAAGAGTGAGCCAGGTTTTAAGGCTGTATTAAAGGGTATAGCTGTACTAAACATCCATAATCTTGTCATTTTTTACAATATGTTTGGTATCTACAAGAGTAAACTTTGACTTTAAAAAGAATTGGACTCGCAGACAAGCCTCAGGAACGTAACTCGTTCGTAAGTAGAGGAGCACCTGTAGTACTACCGTATAAAGATGAACAACTTACAGGGTACAGTATAATACAAAACATTGAGTCACTTATGAACAAAGCATACCAACCATTACGAGGTGACAAGAGCCATAATGCTCATTCTGAATTGTCATGGGGACTGTATATAATTTTTATAATGCATTGCAAAATTTCTGTTGAATCTTTTAAGCCTTGCTCTGTATATATCATGGCCACTAATAAGAGAAAGTGTGATACTGTTTGTAGTGCTAAAAAGAGAGCTCTTACAAATCATAGATAAGAGATAAAATTAGATATACTGTACTGTGCTGTAATAAAGCCAATTGAAATAAGAACAAAAGAATGGAGGAAACTGCAGCGGGCCTATTGGCCCATACTGGGCAGTCCCGTTTACACCCAACCCCTATTGCTCATATAAGCATCCAACCTATGTTTGAAGCTATTCGGCGTATTCGAGTTAATGATGATATTTGGTAACTTGTTCCATTCATCCACTTCTGTTTCCAAATCAGTGTTTACCCATTTCACGCCTAAATCTAAATTTGTCTAATTTAAAACCATTGTTATGAGTTCACTCCTGGGTAAATCACATCTGTCAATGTAATCTTCAACCTCCACCTTGGCAATCTCCATCCCAACCTTAATCCTTGTCACTGAAGGTGTCTGCGGAGTCCATTGTTAAACAGTAATACAATATTCATACTATGTCTAGGGGCTGAGAACACATTAATCGTTATTGTGGAGAAAATTAGTTCTGCTTTCAAAAGTGTGAGGATCGGCAGGAATTTCAGGCACCAATTGCTGTCGAATCTTGGGACTTGCCTGTATTTTTAAATTGCTATTTGAGGAAAAACTACTCCTAATGAACTAGGTGCAAATTATGTCTTGACAGCATTTTAACAAGTGTTAATTCGGATTGCTTTCTTAAACAGGAACTGCAACAGGTATACCCATCAGGAGATTATGCTATTGGAGGCTACTCTTATGGTACTGCTGTGGCCCTAGAAATGACGTGTTTGCTGCAGGCCAACAATCGTGTCCCTACTTCAATTGTCCTCCTAGATGGCTCTCAGTCCTATGTGTCTGGTATCATTGAGGGTTACAAATCTAAACTTGGTTCCAATTTGCCTGTACACGAGTCCTACAGATTGAATAATAAGGCTCAAGAACAGGTGGAGGTGTTGCTCGTGTTTGCCATGCAATTCACATCTGTTGACCCAACAACATTGAAGAAGACCCTACTGGGATTGAAATCCTGGGAGGAGCGAGTTAACCTGGTGGCGGATTTGGTGACAAAGAGGAGAGCGTCGGCGGGCGTCGGCGCACACCAGAATGAACATCGACAGGTAATGTATACATCGTGAAGGGTGTGTGCTTTTAACCCTTTATACAGTGTATTCAACATTAGTGGTACGTTCCTAAGCATTTCTTAAAAGTAAATTATTGTCTAAACTACAGACAGTGCTAAACCTTTTCATAACAATTTCCAAATTAAAACTTGTCCAAATTCTTGTGGAATATATTGATGCACATGTATATTTTGATACAGAATTAAGTTTTAGTAATGAGGGGCAGTAAAACTTTATTTGTAATTAGAATTTGGGACCTTGTGTCATGGTAATGAAACCCCTAATACTGTACTGTACACAAAACCATCAATTCTTGATCTCATGATCTGTGATCGAGGGAAATACGTATGTAGGAGAGGGGAGTGAATCTTTCGGAAAGTTTAAAATTCAATGACCTGATGGAAAGCTGAGGGTGGAGGTAATGTTTTTGGCACCATAACTTGTGTATTTGTATGGGTATACATTTTGTTATTTTAATGGAATACTTTTTATGTACCGTATTTGGAACATTATGAAATGTTGGATTCATCACACATTGTTGTACCATAGCCAGTAGTTTAAAACCTAGTACTGTACTGTCAAATAGGATTCCTAATTAATTTGGTAATGTGGATGGCAGGCTGTGAAAGCAGCCGAGTTGCTCTACCAGCGGCTATTGGCTGGAAGCCAACACAAAGCGGAGGGGCGTGTGAGTCCTCCCACACTCCTGGTGCGAGCCAGGGACAATCCCCAGGCTGCTTCTCTCGGACGCGACTATGGAGTTAGCAAGGCGAGTACTGTACTGTGATGACTTGTAAAAGGATTAATGGCTCGAGATCCTGTCGGGTGAGAGTTGAGGGAAGAAGGGTGTTAGTGGTAAAACGCCTTTCTTTTGATGATACAACGGATTTGTTTACAGATGTGAATACTGTACATAAATATGATAAGGGTGTTGTTCTAGGTGTCCTTACTTAATTATCACATATTTTCTAAAGCACAAGGCTTTTCTTTTAACTTTTACTGGATCCATGGACGATAGCTTAAACTGAACCTCGGAGGAAACCAAATGCAGTACTGTGGTCGTAAATGAATTTTCCTATGTAAACCCAGTACAGTATATCATTCTATCAAAACTCTGAAATCTAAAGTATTGATTCATGACAAAAATTTATATATTTCCTTTATCAATGTTATAAGAAAACTACTGTACTAACCTTCACTAATTTTATGTAATATGTTGTCCACTGCAGATTGTAGGAGGAGTCCTGAAGATTGAAGAAGTAGCAGGAACTCATGAGACTTTTGTGTTGGGGAACAGTGGACAACAAGTGGCCAGTCTCATCCAAACCTTCTTGCAGGAGGCATCACCAACTGTCAAGGTGCTAAACTAGAATCTGAGGGTATTGGTGGTTGTATACTTGGTGAAGAGGACATCACCAGGAATGATCTGTGATATACATTTAGGTGATGAATAATGTCAGAGGCCAAAAAAACAAAGGGAATGACTTTACATTGTTACCTGCAGTAAGGTACAGTACAGTACAGTACAGTACTATACTATACTATGCAGTACATAAGTGTTTTTGGGACACTGGTATCCTATATGGATGGACAAAAGTTTTCACCCATAGTGTTAAGATTCGACAGCTTATTTTAAGCAGACAAAATACAGCTTTAATAGTTCACTGAATTTTGCTTTTTCTTGTTTGTATATATATGACTATTTATGTACATACAGTATTAGAATATCACCTTCCATAGTCACTTCATGAATATGACTAGCACAGTTGAACAAAAGCTTATTGTATCTTGCAGTTAATTTGAAATACCTCAGAATTTATGACATGGTTCTCCATAGCTTAATTTCTCCAGTGTACATCTTCAAATACTAATAGTGTCTCCTCAATTTCGTTAACAGGAACACTTAAGTAGGAGGATATGTTTGGTATATTGGGTTAAATATGATACTGACTTTCAATGGAAAGTGAAGGGGTTGGAAGTACCAGGCATTAGTTTAGGGTGTGCTTAATTTATATATTTGTATGTCTGTGTTATGGAACTTGCACATTTTATTCCAATAATTTTAAGATAATGTAGTTAGTACACTTGGTTTTAATATTGGTATTGTTCGTTCCATACAGGAATTTGGCAATACAATATATATATAGAAGGCGTCCCTCTTGATGTAGATGTTGAGCACTGCATCCAACATGTTCCTTTAGGGTTACCGTGTTAATAGTATGACGCTGGAACATGTATGGTGTACAGTATACCGAGTTTATTTGATCATGTCCTTTAGGACTGAGAAGTTGCAATGCCAACAATGCAGCCAGTTAGTGGTTACTTTAGCTGTAAGAAATTCTTGTACATATTACCAAGAAGTAAATTCCAGCTTTATATTTTTTCATTAAATGATGCTCTTGAGTGAAAATTTTGCTGATACTGTATTATATATTGGAAGCTCGGATATACACAAGTACAGTACAGTAATGCACAAGTAATTGTTTGTTGTGCCTAGTGAATTGTTCTCGGTTGATGAATGAATGTTAAAAATTTTTAGTTGGTAAATGAATGTTACAATTTTTAGTTGATAAATGATATTCAGTGACAGGTTTGTTTAGAACTGTTGCTGCAGAATGTGGCGACTGAGTAATATATTGTATGTAGTATAGTATATCCTTTATGGAGAGCTTGGAGTAGTGTCCTGACATATTAAGGTACAGTATATAACCATGATAGTGTCCGTACATGAACGAGTATGTTCACACACATATCTGTCCATTCCTTCCTATGACATAATTGCATCTTTATTTTGACTACCTATATTTGTTGAAAATTTTTATATTTCTATATTTATTGTGAAGTGATGATGTAAGGATTACATGTACAAGTATAAGCGGGAAGGACTATTTTTTGATGATAATTTTGTCTTTCTACAAGTCTTCAAATGCACAACTTAAATTATCATTTTACAAAGTTCTCACCTGCCACAAAGGTCCGTGTTCAATTATTGGACTTTGTATTTATTGTGTAATGATGTTCACATAAAAAGAAATCTTAAGTATATTTAAAGTTTTCTTGTTTTGTCCTAACTATGGCGGCTGTAACCAAGGTGATCAGGATGGGTGCTGGTGGTCTATGGCCTGTTTTGGGGTTCTCCATTATTCTTGATAGTCTTGTCCAGTAATATTTTGAAGCCTGGTGTACAGCTTCAGGTGGTAAACTTCCATAGAAATTCTGTCCTTGGTAAAGAAGTTCTGCAATCCTAATATTTGTTCTGCAGGACAACTGGCATATTTGACTGGTTGTTTCATGCCAGTGAAGATAGTTTGAGAAAACTTCTTGTGATACGAGTTTAAACGCACCAAACTCTTCCTGGCAGCACACAATTGGTTATGTGGGAGTAAGACAAAATTCTGCTAGGAATATCCGTTATTATGGTATTACTAGCAGTGGTGTGTTGGGTAAAAACGGCTAAATTGTAAAATGTAAGACCTGGTGTAGCTGCTTGTGATCTAGAGTTAGCTTGCTTGCATCACACTACTGTTCCGAGACCTGGGTGCTGGATATAGACCTGTGGAGGCCCATGGGCAGCCTCTTTGTGGAGGCCCCCCCCTCATAACTACCCAAGAGGGTGGGGTGGCGAGTGAAGCAAGCCTAAACATCTGGGAGTTCTGGGGGGTACTGTGAGCCCCCCCCGGGAAAATTTTGAAATTTGAACACTTCTTTGGAGAATTTTGAAGCCATATGCAGTTATATTGAGGAAATTAGAACATTGAGAAATTTTTAATTAAATGTATATGTATTTATAGTGTACAAATTCCCCACACACACGCACAAAAGTGAGACATGACGAGTCGTTCATGTGAGTTCAAGTCGTCCAGCCCCTGATATAGCTACTACCGCACGTCAAAAATTTTCAAGACTTCTCGGAAAAGAATACATTATTGCTGAACATGGTTTTACGTGATGGAATAGATAAACATGAATTTTAAAGAATGAAAATAAAAATAATCCAAATGAATAAACGAATAAAATATTGTAATATGTGGAGGCCCCTGGGCAGCTGCCCACTCCTGAATCCGGCCCTGCGAGACCTACTGTAGTGGATTTCTCCCCTACAAATGCTGTTTGTCGCCGAGTAGCCGATCCCGCGAATTCCCCAGTGCATGCCTCGTGGTCTAGGTCAACCAGCGCCGCCCACTGAGCAGGGGTCAACTATCTACCCACGCCTTCCTCCGCTATAAAAGACCTGACCTCGTGGTGACTGCTCTCTTTCTACCTACACCAACCAGCCAGCAACACCTCCTCCGCCTGCCTGGCCGTCCTTGCTCCCGCCGGCGAGCATGGCGACCCACAAGCTGTCCTTCTCTGAGCATCCTCACCAACCAGCTCTCTCTACATCACGCTTGTAACCATGCTGCCTTCCCAGCACCAAGCTGCATTGTACATCCAATACAACATGTATACAGAGAGCACATCTGTGAGTTTCGTTTCTCCATCCCATCCTGAGTGTGAACACAAACATCCTGTAGTGGATTTCTCCCCTACAAACGCTGTTTGTCGCCGAGTAGCTGACCCCCACCAATTCCCCAGTGTATGCCTCGTGGTCTAGGTCAACCAGCGCCGCCCACTGAGCAGGGGTCAACTATCTACCCACGCCTACCTCCGCTATAAAAGACCTGACCTCGTGGTGACTGCTCTCTTTCTACCTACACCAACCAGCCAGCAACACAACCTCCTCCGCCTGCCTGGCGGTCCTCTCTCTCGCCATCGAGCATGGCGACCCACAGGCTGGTCCTCCTCTGAGCACCCTCACCAACCAGCTCTCTCTACATCACGCTTGTAACCATGCTGCCTTCCCAGCACCAAGCTGCATTGTACATCCAATACAATATGTATACAGAGAGCACATTGTGAGTTTCCTTTCTCCACCCCATCCTGAGAGTGAACACCAAACATCTTGAACCCCACAATCCCATCCCCACACTACTGCTTGGGTCAGATAGGGGTGTGTCCACTATGACACTAGTGAACAAAGCAGGTTTTCTTAAAGTGCCTGCACTTGGGTATTCTTCCTGTAAGTGACAAAGCTAACACTAAGTATTGGGGCACCGTAAATTATTTTACATGGGAGTATAAGTTCATGTTAGAGAAGGTTTATCGCCGTTAGGTTAAATTTTAGGTATTTAATCTTGGGGTATGATGGGGCTAGTCTTCATCCAAAATTATCAAGACTACACATGGTACCAAAGATCTTGTGTTATTATAAATGTGCTGTATATGACGATTCCCCAGTGGTATAAGAAATCGGGACCAGAGGTGTGAATTTATGAGATTATGGCATTAAATCATATTATGAAGCAAATAAAGTAAACGTAATGTTCTTCATTAAATAAATATCTATCCATTCATGATTTTTATCCAGGGATTCGGATGATGTAAAGAAGTAGATATTAGAATAGACTTAAGTTAACCTGGTAAGATTGGCCTGGAGACACTGGGCATAAGTTATGGTGTTTAAGAACTATTCATATGATACGTAACCTAATATAATGTTATTAAACATTTTATGTAAGATATAAATTTATTAATTTTATATTTCTACTCATTGCAAAAATTTCCGTGAAAAATATTTTGTTCGTTATGCCAAAAAAAATTTGCCTTTCCACTTTAACTTTTGGCGCGATTTACGACGAAGGAAGGAGGCGGCGGCGCTGCCAGTTCATGACTGTTTTTAATTGTTTTACGGTTTCATGTGTGAATACATCGTTCCTTCCCTGCCAACCTGACACCAGGGGTCCCTAATTTATAATATGGTAAGTCATTAGTAAGAACACTAAAAAACTAACGATATACTTGCTTTTAAGACTTGGACATTGGATGCGGCATGATTAGAAGGGAAGAAACATTTTTTATTTAATCTGAATAATATAATGCCTGAAGCGTAATGATGGTAAACCTATTGTTAGGAAGCTAAACTCAGCGAGTGAAGTGTATTACCCTTGAGCATATAGTATTACGAAGCTTAATGACTCCTAAAACTGACGTCATGAGGTTATGATCCATGATAAACCTAATAAGCATGTTTGGTGTGGACTTATTTGTTATAATATCAAGTAATTTTCGTTATTAGTATTCATCTTTTCTTGAACGAATTATTAAAGGTCCATATATGAGCGAATTTTGTGAACGTAATGAATTGTTTTAATTTTCTCATTCATCCTCAAGTTTGCTGTGCTCTAAATTCCCAGACGAACTTTATCCACGTTGATTGTTGTTTTCATACCTCGGCTCTACCAAGGACTACAGTTAAATTATATTTCTAACAATAGTTTCTTGTATATTGTGTAAACCATTGTAAAGGGATGTAATTATGGTTGAATATATAGTCGGTACAGAATATCCTCGTAGAATGGCTAAAATGCGAGATAAAGGAGAAAATAGAGTCAAGAATTGAGATACTGTGGCCGTATTTATTGGAATATATATTTACGCTGATGCAAATTTAGTTGTATTTTATCTGGTTATTTTTGTATTATCTATATTTCTTTTCGCGTTTTGCTCCTTTTTGACTGCAGTGTGGAAATGCTCGGTAATAGCTTGGGGTTTAGCTAAGTTTACCCTGGCGCGTAACTAACTCCTGACGTGACAAGACGAAGGTAAGTTGAAAGAAAACTGAGTAAATGAAAGTCTGTGAACTGACTTGAGATTGAATAAACTGACTTCAATTAATCAAATTTATCGTTTAACTGAATAAATGAATTCATATCTCGACAAGTCTGATTTGAATGAGTAACAATTATATTTTTAATGAATAAAATCAGACGTGGGTGAGTAAAATTAACCCATATTTGTAATTAAATAGTCATATGTGATTGAACCAGATACTTCCGTTATAATTATTATCGCTCTTTTATTTCATATCACCTTGACCTGTAACTAATAACAGTACTAGATAACCTCTTTGTGTATGTTAACCTGGATAAATATAATCTGACTCGTCGTGATTTACAAACATACAATCTTCCATCAGTTGATCAGCACTGTAATTGTATGTACCATTTGTAATTGTATGTACCATTTGTAATTGTATGTACCATTAACTCTACAGGTCACAAGGAAGTGAAGGGGGTAGCGTCATCGAGTGGAGCGGGTGTGGACTGCCTGGAGATAAGGTGAGCGAATCAGTTTACTCAAGTAGGTTCATACTGTAAGACATGCTGTTTTTCTCTTGCTTCGTAGGCGTTATAAGATTCATTTTTTTGTCGTAACTTGAGTGAGGCAATTAGATGTGTTCTTATGAGGCTAACTGAGGAAAATATTAACCAACATCGGATCTATGATTGTGTTGTAACCTGCATAAAGCAATTGGTATTGTAGCGTACTGTATGTGGCCAGTTGTCAACTCTCTTTAGTTGTCTATTATCTCTTTGTATGGGCACACAAACGTACGAACATGTAGATATCTCACACTCAGGAATGGAAAGTGGCTTATGTGAGTCCTATCTTCAAGAAGGGCGATAGTCACTCCACGAACAACTATAGACCGGTGAGCCTGCCCAGCATAAT